GAGATTTAAGATAGTGAGAATGATATGCTCTCGTATTGATTTGGTCTTGGTGCTTCTGAAGCCCCATTGAATGTCATACCTAAGCTATACTGTTCAGGTGGTCTTCCAAAGGCTGATGAGGTTGTATCAGAAGGAACTGACACAGCAATGTGATGGAAGAGAGTAGTTAAGCATGTGTGTGCATGCACACCTGAGTGTGTTACTTGTCCTTCTAATGGAATAGCTTCTACAGCTGCTCTACCTGCAGTGTTTTTTGGATTGGTATTCCAGAGGTTGCTGGCGGCAGACAGATGATTTTAATATTCCTGTAATGTGGAATGCTGTGTTAGCATTTAGATAACCTTATTTTTTCCCCCTTAAACGCTCCTTGATGAGTGATACTGGCACAGGACTCCCGCCTCCCTGAGCCATAGTTCAGTTCATATCTGTTTCCTCTGTAAATCCCTTTGCATGTGGTCAGCTTGCAAGTTGCTAGTGAGAGCCTGCCAGCTTATATGTTGTCTGATTGCTTTCACAAATGTGGCTGACTTTGATCTTTCTGAGAAAATAGACACTGAATACAACTCATGTAAAGCACAGACGGTGTCTGTAGAGTGGATGTGGAAAGGTAGAAGGGTTAACCATGACATGTTCTCTTGAAATGGTTTTATGACTGCTGCAAACTTGAATGTTCTGTAATAGAGATCTGCTGGATTGAGGGGTTACCCTTCACTATTAATGACTCATTGGCCTCCTTCCCAAGCTGCCTGAAGTGCTGCTCTCCCTAGTGGAAGTAATTTTGTCTTTGAAGTACTTTCCAGAGCTGTCAACTAATGTTCCACAGTTCCCAGAGGAAATAATGAGCCATGAGTGTATGTACACTGAAAAAATGGACTCTGAAATGAACTGTTCCTATAGGAGCCTGGCAGTCTGCTTCTCTGTGGAATTCAGCTTGTTTATACAATCTTATCTGGCTAAGCTTTGGTATTTCATCTGGCAGGCAGCTCCTATGAAAAGCAGCTGTCCAAGCAATGGGAGTGGTGCTCCTGGTGGCTTTTTCAGAAGGTCTATAATTTCTTCCTTCATGTAAATCAAAGAAACACAATACTCTTTTGGCTACAACCAGATGCTCTAAGCAGTTTTCTTACCCTTATAAATAGCTCTTTAAGTGTGCTGTGCTGTGCTGTACTCTGTGACTTAAGAATAGGATTCATGACGGCAACCAGGAAGAAGGTATAATGTATTTTGTAAGTCACGAGTTGATAACAAAATTGTTGGAGGAGTAAATACCTCGAAAGTGTGGGCATCTGTAACTTTTTAGATATGTTTTAAAAGAAATTCGTTAAGTAAAATATCCATACTTGAAAGCAAAAACCTTTATTGGTTTTACCGTTGCTGGACAAGAGGCAGTTCCACCAATTGAGGTGAGAAAACACTGGTATAAAGAAAACTTACCACAAGTGTATTTCTATATGAAGAGAGCTGTAGCATATATAATCCCTACCAGAAAGGTTCTGATGGGTAAGTGGGTAGTGACAACTATTTCAAAGAAAGGAGACAGGCAAAAAAAAAAAAAAAAACAAACAAACAACCCACAAACATTAACGGGAAGGATGCAGGCATCCAAAGTACTTAAAGTTTTTATTGCTATTTATTGCCAGATAGCAGAATGTTCTGAAAAATGTACTTTCTGTGGAGGACTGGTGCAGTAACTTTCAATGCCTATAGGAAAAAAAAGAAAGAGGGTTTTTTGGGGTGTGCTTATGTGTAGGACAGAACTGGAGAGCTGATGATTGCTTCTCCAGCTGTGGTAAATGTTTTGGGTTTTTTTTCTCTAGAAAAGGTGAACAAGATGACTTGTTTCCTATTGAAGATAATGGGCCCAAATAAAGTTTAGATCTAAGTCTTTCAAAATTCAGTGGTTATCCATGATTATCCAGTTCACAGCCTATCTGTGTCTGAAATTGTATTTTGTACAGGTGAATGTTCGGTGCAGTCTGCCAGATTGTAAAGAATGGAGGCTGTACTCAGCACCTAAAAGTTAATTATCCTTCTGTCATCTGTGCATCACATTTCACTCTGACCACTGTTCAAGACAGAAAAACATGACACCCTGTAAAATACGAGACATTAAGTACTGCTTAGATGTGCCTCTTGATGGCACTTGTCCTGCCAGCATGCATACAGATTTATGTAGCCTTTATTCTGCAAAAGGAGGACTTAATATTGCAACAGGAGAAACATGAAATACAAGCTCTGTCTGGTTTATATACTGCATACTTGTCTACCTTGGGATCAGGATTCAGGCACAGTCAGTTTTGTTAGCTAAAAGGGCATTCTTGCTTGGAATCCTGCATGGTGAAGAAATTGAAAACCTAGTAACTGACCTTCATTCAAAGCGTGTTGTTGTAAATTATGCAGTGATGGGTAGCTTTCATTTTGGTCTGACACATACCACCTGAACAGTGCATAACTGGAAAGAGGTGACAGGTCACTGTTTGACCACCCTGTAGCTGCTGAAAGGTGGTGATATTTGGCTGACTTCTCCCGGTTCTGGTGAGGAGGGAAATTTTTCTTGAGATTGACTTTCTGCTGCCCCAGCAACAACTGATGTTAAACTTCAGTATGGATACTTGGCTTTATTCCTGCTGAAAAAGTAGAAGCTTGGAATAACATGACAACCTGTTTTGTTCTAGCAGGTCATCTTGAATACAAGCAATGCGATAATCCCTGTATTGTCAAGGAATGTATATTTTGTACTTGAATTTCTTCCAGAAAATAGTTAATTGTGTGTTACTTTTGTATGTTTTTTTCCTTAAAAGCACTCCAAATTAACTCCCTTTTTCCATCCTGCAATAGATTTTAACAGTTTCACCTTTTAAAGTTGGGTCTTCATCTTTCTCAGAAGTGGTCCCATGGAGAATCAGAATCAAAAACTGATGCCTGATGCTGTCTTAAAAACAGATCCAGTCAACAGTGCACCGACTTCATTTTTTAATCTTTTCCAGCCCTGGAATACTTGAATTTAAAAAACGGTCAATAATCCAGTATAACATAACTTCTAATCTCTCCTCCTGCCTCATGGTTCATGGTTTGGAGGAGAATGAGCATTTTTGTGGCAGACTGGGCTCTTTATTATTAGTGGTGGTGGTTATTTGGAAGTTGCCCAAAGGTCATGAATGCTGGCAGTCATCTAGAGAGACAGATTAGTGGGCTCAGCGCAGGTGAGGAGGTCATAAAAGCAAAATAAGGACTTTTTTGTCATTGCCTTCATTGTTCAGCCAAAAGAAGCAACTTCAGACATGTCCCACCTGTACGTGTCAGATGGACCATTGTGCTTCTTTAGTTTCCCTATGACATTAATACTCAATTATGACAAGCTTGAATGTTGTGAGAATTAACTCTAGGTTGTTCTTGTTCTTTTAAGGAGAAGAAAACTCTTGTCAGGAAATCATCTGATCTGGTAAAATGCTTGCAGGCCAGTCTTACTCATTCAGTCTTAATAATCATATACAGAGGTGCAGGGAACAGCTACCTGGGTGTTGTCAGCAGAGAGGGGGATGACTGGGGCATGTTTAATTTTACCTGCAGTGCAATGAACTGCAGTCACCAGACTGATTTTCTGAGTCTTAATGACATGCAGCTTTTGGTTTGAGTTTAGTTTTTGCGTGGTACAAGAGGCAGTTTCAAACAAAAACTTGCATGTAATGTAATTTTAGCTTTACCATCTTAAAATGAAAGTCTGGGGTAAAGTTTGCCTCGGTAGCGTGCTTTTTCCAACCTTTGTTATCTAGAGATATTATTTTACTTTCTCAAGTGTTGTTATGCAGGATTAATTTATATGAGCAAAAGCTTCACCACACTTCTGTAAAGTAATTGTATTTCTGTATTTTACTGCTTGTCTTCAACAGTAAACTGAAAGTTTGTTCGTTTTTATCTGAATAGTGTTAGCATGTTTAAACCCCTGGTGAAATGCTTTTCTAGCTAGTATTGTGCTTCATGTTCAAAATATGCACAGTATTTCTAATGTGAACTGCAGTGGCACATTTTTTTTACACTAGGTAATTCATGAATATTTAGGTATTTTTTGTGAAGCTCAAAATGGAATGACGTGTCAGTGGGCATTTATGTATTGTTCAGCTGGTTTAAAGTAGATCACTTTGCACATGCCCTGGAAGTGCATTGAATACATTGACAGAGACCAAAGTATTTTAACTTCTGCAGTAGATCTGACAAAGGCTGCTTTCCTCTGGATTTTTCTCAAGAGTGGGAGGGTTTGTGCAAGCCCGCATCTGTTCTGTGCTCCTCAGCATATGGACTATGCAACAGGGCAGTTTCTCTCTCCCCTCTTCTATTCTGCTTGGGCACCTTACTTCCACAATTTTTCTTTTTTTTTTTTTTGTTTTAAATTTAACACTTTAGCACTTCCTGTGGCTGTCAAATTCTTCAGAAATTAAAATATTCCAAAGAGAAGAGTGCAGCATTGATAGGTGTGTGTTAACATAAATCCCTCAGTGAAAGTGGCTAGGCTACAAATACATATCCAGCTAACTCTCTCATACCCTGCTTTTGTGTTTGTGCTTGAGGTCTGCTATCAGTTAATGCTGTGACGGGTATTAAAATATTCTTTCATTCAGACTTTTATATTAGGAATTGCATACACATTTTTCTCCATGTGACATATATGTATAAAATTACTATCTAACTCTGAAAATACAGTGTCATATAAGAAGGTGTATCAGGCTTGCAGCTGCAAGTAATTGCATTCCATGCAAGAGTATGAAATCAGAAGCCTCCTTCCTCAAAATGTGGAAGATATATGGATAAGGCATTGGAAACAGCTAATTCATTCTGAATGATGTGTCAATGGACTTAAACTGAAACAAAGGTGAGGGTAAGCAGAAGAATTTGACTTCTTCTGTATTATTGGGAGTACAGCTTCAGTGAACCAGAGTAAGGAGGGAAAACTCCCTGCAGTTTGAATCATTCTGTTTGATACAGTGGTGCGTTTTATCTTTCAGATGAAGTGGACTACAGTAATTTTGGGACCAACACGTTGTCAAGGAAGAAGAAGGCTCTGGTGACACTCCGCAACGACAACCTCCGCCGGCGTCCTCACATTAATATCGGCATGCCTCACGATTTTAGGCCTGTGTCTTCCATAATCGATGTGGACATTCTTCCTGAAACACACAGGAGAGTGAGGCTGTATCGACACGGGTGTGAGAAACCTTTAGGATTTTACATACGCGATGGCACCAGCGTAAGGGTTACTCCTCACGGACTGGAAAAAGTACCTGGTATCTTCATCTCTCGTATGGTTCCTGGGGGCTTAGCAGAGAGCACAGGCTTGTTGGCTGTAAATGATGAAGTCCTGGAAGTTAACGGCATTGAAGTAGCAGGAAAGACTCTCGACCAAGTCACAGACATGATGATTGCTAACAGCCATAACCTTATTATCACGGTCAAGCCAGCGAACCAGAGGAACAATATTATTCGGAGCAGTAGGATGTCTGGTAGCTCTGGGCAGTCTACAGACAGCACCGCTAGTCACCACAGCTTGCCTACATCTCACGTACTGCAGAACTTCCATCCTGATGAAATGGAGAGTGACGAAGAGGCTGACATTGTCATCGAGGGCAGTCTGGAGCCGCAGCACATTCCCAAACTGCACAGCCTTACTTCCAGTAGCCTCTCTAGAATCAATGGCAGCAGCCTTAGCCACAGACTTCAAAGGGACCTGGTGCTCAACAACAACTCTGGCCGAGAAAGCAATGGCAGCATCCACAAATTACTCAGTTCCTTAAAAACTGATCCCAGACACAGTCTGGTTATTCCCCGAGGAGGAATTGAGGAGGATGGCACAGTTATTACGCTTTAGTAGCAATTGCTGCAACTCTTTTCAGTCTTAAGTGCCAATGGGGACAATTGACTCTTAGAACTTGTTATGCACAAAACAGAGCTGATATTCTCATAGACCTCACAGGTGCAGAATATTTTTGCTGTCTAGGAAACATGGCATTTGGAGTTAGAGAGAAGACTGCCATGCACTGCAAAATTGATCAGGAGAATGCCAGAGTGTAAAAGCTGGTTTATATCTCAGTCCTAAAGTAAGAGGGCAGATTAGTTGTAGTTTGTATAAATTTAAGCAGTTTTACAAGCTACCACTGGCAGTGCTACATGCTTGGGTTTGAATGCATGGGTGGATGTATTTATACACGCATGTATATGAGTTAGGTTTTAATAGTAATAACAAATGTCTATTTGAAGTGGAATCTGTTTTTCCTCTGATATGAGTTTTAAAAGAGCTCTTCTCAATAGCATTACATACAGACCTTCTGCTAATTTGTTTATACCACATTTGCAGTGTTATGTCTAAACCAGACAAGCTCTGTAAAAGTAGTTTTCTGCCGTAGTGGTAACAATGGTAGGGAGATGCTGCAAATGCATTTCCCAAATGAAAAAATGTATGTATTTTTTAAAGTGTAGGGAGAGGAGGTTGAGAGGGTTATTGCTTTGGGATCAGCACCGCCTGCTGGTCAGAGGCAGATCTGCCTGCAACACAGATCTATACTATATGGGAAAACAAAATCATGACAATGAGAGCTTAAAACTGTTCATTATGTGTCAAATGTATTATTTTTGATATTTATTAGATAATACCTCTTCTTCAAATTTTCTCACCATCTCTTTTTCAGTATCAAGTTCATGTGAATTCTAGGGATACATTACACGCAAGAAGGTGAAAAGAAATGGGAGAGTGCTAGGACTGTTTCCTTCCCCACCAAGATAGGTTCTCGCTGTATACAGCCTAAATCCTGGAGGTCCTTTCTTACCAAAATTTGGCCAATTGCTATACCAAGGAGGGATGCTGACTGTCTTTCAAACCTAACTTAGAATAGTTCTATTGTTTTTGAACTCTTCTAGTAATCATAAAGCTTTATGTCTACACTTGATTTCTAGAAACTTACAATATGCTGGATGTTGGCGGTGGCCAGACATCCCTACTGGATACTAGTTAAGGAGTAACCAGTGACTGCTGAGTGGATAACTGCTCACATCTGAAATGCCATGAATTTGTTAAAATGATCAAATCTAAAGTATTTTGTTACATCTCAATCAGTGTAAGGAGCAAAATATAAATGTTTTACAATGTATTTTTCTACTTTTAGCTTGTCTTTTTCTTTTTGTTTTTAACTTTGTAGTACATTAAAGGTTTTTTTTTTTTTATATGGTGAAATAGACATTTCTTAAATATTGTATGAATATGAAAATTCAGAAGTCTTGGTTTGAAAAAAAAAAAAATTACATTCCATTTTGGAATATGTAATGACTGGACAAAGGATATGTGGACTAATTGATTATTGCTAATTTAGAATGCCTGTGGAACAACCAGTCTTCTGCTCATTGTTAAGTATGTTTGGGACATTGAACTTAGTATGTTTCTTTTAGATTTGCTTTAAAAGTTTATTTTAAGACTCTTTAATTAAACCTTTTCTAGGTGTCACAGCAGTTATAGAGCTATACTTATTTTTCCCAGCACAGTAAGAATAGCACATTGATCCTATGTCTTAAATACATGTTTGTACTTTACCAAAGGTTTTCATAAAAAAAAAAAAAAAGTGATTATATTGGTGCATTAAAAAACTGAATAGCTGGATACGCTTCAGTCAGTCACACCATCTTATCAGGAGGGTTTTGTTACACCTTCTTTAAATAAGTTGTTTTGCCTGGCTGAGGGTTACTCATTTTGCCTTATTTAACTGATGAAATTGTGACCTGTCTGCAATAAAATGTGCACTAAGCTTACTTCTGTGCTATATCCTTTCCCTTATCCTGAAGGGCAGGAGTACAGTACTTCTGTAGGAGTATCACACTTCCTTGGTGAAACAAGGTATGTTTTTGGGGTATGTTTTTGACAACTTCAGATTACCAGTTCAGGGTTGCCTCTTGCTGCAACCGTGCAGTGAAAACCAAGAGAGTCAATGTTTCTTCCCATGTCTTCCCATCCTGCCTTATAAATGGTACTGTTGCATTGATCCCCGTGGGGGCTCTGCTCTTTGTAGCAAGGCTTTCTTTGAGACTCCAGTCTTCCTTCAGGCCTTCACCTGGTTCTGTCTCCTCAGGAAAAGCTTAAGGCACCTTTCTCATGGTGAGGTGCGGCAGCTCTGCTGGGGGGAGGCTGGGTGTCTCTCCAGCTCATGCGCTATTAGAAAATACCCAAATCTGGTTCTGCATGCGGAGGGGGAGACAGTGCTGAGGTGGGAAATGCAGCTTAGTGGAGAGGAGTGGAGGGGCGTCACAGGGGCAGAGCAGTGACAGAATTAACTTTGGCCCTGATGCTTTGCAGCGTGACTTTCAAGGCTTGCAAACATTGTCTTCATTTGCATCAACTAGAAAAAAGAAAACAACCAAACAGCCTCAAACCCCCTGCTTCTGTTTTTGCATGCACCATCCTACAAACGCAAGTCCTGTGTGTGGATATCGATGATCTCCGTGCAGGTTAGCTCTCGCTAGCTGGAGCCTCCTGAGGGAGCGGGGCCGTAAAGTCCGGGAGAGCCGTAAGCAGCGGGGCCACCCCCCGCGGCCACGGGGCGGGGCGCGAGGCGGCGACACCGCGCATGCGCCTGCGGCCGCTCACGTGATGGAGGCGTCGCCTGACGGGCGGCCGGGCGGCGGTATGGCGGCTGCGGGGACAGGGGCCGAGGCGGCGGGGGTCTGCTCCGGCGGGGACAGCGGGAACGTGTCGCAGAGCCACAGCAACGCCTCCGGGCTGGGCGGGCAGGAGGACGAGGAGGGGGACGCGCTGGACGCGTCGCTCAGCGCAACCGCCGCCGCCTATAGCGCGTACCTGCTGGTCGAGCGTAGCGCCTTCAGCGAGCAGGTGGGCGGGCGGGGTGCCCCTGCTTTGTGCTCGGCGCGCTGCCGTTCGCTTGCTGCCCGCGCTTGAGGTTGTGCACCCCGAAAGCATTTAAATGCGTTTTGCAGGTGGAAAGCTTAGAGAAGAGCCTGGAAGAGCTGCTGACGAGAGTAGACGAATTTGTGGGGATGCTGGACATGGTACGTGGGAGGCGCCGATCTCTTGTCCAACTTGCTGCTTTTAACTTGGCTTTGGTTTGTTTGGTTTTTTTTTCCCCTAGTATTTTTAATCCATTTGATTTAATCCGCTCAGTGGGAGGAAAGTTGTAGTTTTATAAATGAAATCTAGTATTTAACACTTTGCTCTATTCATTGATTTATGTATAATCCCATCAACTCACCCTCTATAGATTCGAAGTGATTCATCCCAAGTTGTCAATGAGAGCATACCTGAAATTTACACCAAAGCTACCGAGATGAGGCAGATATACAGGAGGATTGACAAGCTGGAGGTACGTGTTTGGCATCCTCTGGCTGTGTTCCCAGACTCAGAAGGTCCCCCTCTGTGTCAGTCATTGATGTAATGGTGTGTGCATGCATGAATGTTCAGTGGGTTCGCTTCTTTTTCATATCTGCTCCAGATTCAGTGCTTGGGGATAATGAAAAGAATGCAATTGCTGAACAGTTTCTTACATTCTAGAACAAAATGTCTTTTGGTTTTCAAATGGGCTGCTTGAAGCAAGGCAGCTATCCTTCTATTTTCAGAAAGCCAATAGTATTGCTTTTTCTTCTTCTTTTTTTTTTTTTTTATAGCATCTTTCAAAGTCACTGTGAAAACTATCCTGAGACTAACGAAATGAGAGAACTGTCAATTTCTGGTAAAGCTTCAACGCTCCAAGTGATTCACCTTCTTGATCCCACTTTCTATAGAAAAACATATAGGTATCTAAATTCTAAGAAATTGCCCAAGGAGGCTGTGGATGCCCCATCCCTGGAGGCATTCAAAGCCAGGCTGCATGTGGCTCTGGGCAGCCTGGTCTGGTGGTTGGTGACTCTGCACATAGCAGGGGGCTTAAACCTGGGTGATCATTGTGGTCCTTTTCAAGCCAGGTCATTCTATAATTCTATGAAATCTAAATTAATTTCTTGAAAAGTAGATAGGAAGGGTCAGACTAATTGTTTCATTAGATGTGACCTGTTTTTGCAGTCTGAGTATCTCATGAGTGATTTGTGGCAATAAATTGGACTTGCAGATGAAAGGGGAATAGAGTATAAGTGGTTTTCTGCTTTTTCATTAGCGATACTTTCTTTCACTGCTTTTTTGTAATACAAATCCTGTTTTAACGTGAATTAGTGAAAATGTTGTGCTGCTTTGTTCTTCTTTCTTCTCCTCATGTAGGCTTTTGTGAAGATGATTGCAAACCTCGTGGCTGGAATGGAAGAACGGGTTGTAAAGGCAGAAACAGACCTTGGAGCTTTTCCAAGCACATTCAAGAAAATCTTGCACACGATCAGCATGCCGTCCTTCCGTAATGTAAGTAAGCTTTAGTTCTCTCTGCTTACCACTGGACACTGGTACAAACTAGAACAATAAACGGTAAGTTTGTTACACATACAAATGAATTTCAACATCAAACTCGTGGACTTTATTAATACACTTGCAAAGTTCTCAGGTTTATCTGAAACAACATCAACAAAAAAAAAAACCCTCACATGTTCTGACAAGTGAACTGACAAGTTTTGAGTTATGCTCCAGAGTAAGTTTGAATATATGAAGAAGGGAACCTGAAGGGCCCAATAGGAACATGTAATGAGCAAGCCCATATTGAAGCATCCCTGATCTCTGACAGTATGCAAAGCAGGTAGGAAGAGCCTACACGGATAACACTGTTGAAGCAATATGATGCATTAATGCAGTTACTGCCAAAATGTTAGCAGAATAGGAAGTAAAAACTGTGCTACACAATATACTTATTATAAGGGTTGTATTTATCCACAGTCCACACAGTTTGGTAATGGTGTTAGCATCTTGTCAAACTGTCTGAAAGGGATGTGTGTTTTTTTTCTACCTTCCCTCATGACTACATGCGGTCTGTTTTTCTGCAGAAGACATGAAGTACCCTCTGTAGAATGTTTCAAGGTGATGCCATACCAAGCCTTAAACAACTGACACTGTGCACTACTTTTTAAAATAACCTTTGAATTTAAAAAAAAAAAAAAAAAAAAAAACACCAAAACTTGTGGCCTCACATCTCGTACTTCTTGTCATCATCTGCTGTAATGGACCATATACCACATTCAAGCGTATCTCTCTGCATCTTGTCAGCACCCAGTCTTTCCTTTATCCTTCCCTATGTCCATCCCATTCTAGCTCAGGTCTCCATCTCGTATTAGTGAGAATGCTGAAATAAAGTCAGTTTGTGGAGTGGGAGAGGAAGATGTGGTTGCTGAAGTATTATTTATTATTTGCTACATATTGTAACTTTGTGTGGCAGCAAAAAAAACCAAAAAAATCTGAAAAGAATATTGTCTTGGTAAGACTTGGTTCAGGAGCACTATTTGCTGCTAGTCATTAACTTCCAGGTGCCTCATTTTCTTCGGTGTTTAAATTCAGTGGTGCCCCTTCGTTCTAAAATAAATAAGAAAATAAATGAACAACATGCAAAGCAAACAGCATCACAACTGCTATGTATGGGCTAATTAAAAAAGCAAACAACAACTCTGGCAGCTGTGGATAGGAGCATCATAGCTTTGATGCTTCACCCTTGAAAAATATTCAACAGGATTTTCTGTAAAGTTTTCAGTTTAAAAGTTTGATAGTTCTAATAAAATGGTTTTTCGTGTTGCATGGGAACGTTTTGCCAGCAGTTTTTCAGCAATAAATAGGGTGGAAAGTCATTCATCTGTTTTGTGGGTGTACTCTTAAGCTTCAAGTATGCTACTGTTAACTCTTTATCACTGATGAAGACTCTTCATCTCTTTGCTCCAGACAGGCAAAAAAGTAGCTGAAAAACTTCACATGCAAACTGACTGAGAGCTCTGCAAAACTGTTTATCAGATTTTGTCATGGGAAGTTTCATGAAAGTTTTTTTTTTATTTCATAAAAGTTTTTAATTAATCAAAACACGATTTTAAGCCTTTTCTTTAAGGCCATATGTTGAAAATATACCCTGGCTCTGTGTTGCCATGCAGCGTTATTTACATACAAGAAGGCTGACAGAACAGTCAGTAGTGGTCCTTGCTGTTGTCTACTTGGGCAGTTTTAGTAAACAACGCATAATTATGATAATTACGTGTTACATAGAGAGTATTGAAGATGAAAGTGTACACTTTTCCTGAA